GGAGAGTGTGAACTAATAGAAGGGATTGAATGATGCGTTTGAAATGTCTAAACGAGAAAAAATATCTGTTTTCTTTTGCCAGAAAACGATCTTCGTTCGTTTGAATGATGAATTGTTTGTTAACGTTGCACTTTGTAGCAACACGAAGGCTATTGGCGTAATGCCCAAAGGGAGCGAGCTCACCCCCAAACCCCCAAAGGTTTAGAGATAAAAACGGACTCTGGGAAATAATAACTACTGCATTCTGCCTGTATGGATGAAAAATCTTGTTAGCAGTTTTTTTTAGTTTAAATTGATACATAGTGTGAAAGTACAAGGATAAAAAGCAAATACTGGATATGAAAAATACAAAATAAAATAAAACAATTACATTCAAATTTGCTTGAAATCTTAAGTTGTATAACAAATGTCTCGAATGAATACATTAAGATGTTACAACTCTTCCTATAAAATGAAGGAGAAAAAATAACATTCAAAATCGGTGTTCATCTGCCACAAAATACAAATCAAGTGATGTCATGGCTTCCTGTTAAGAACTGACATCAATACTTTTCCTTTCTACTTCATATAAATGAATCCACCTTATCCAATTATTCGGAAAGAGAAATGATCCATTTTGAATTTTTCTAGCTGCATTTTCATCTTTTTTTGTATTGGTAGGTAAAAAATTAAGCAGGGACAAATATCAGGGAAAAAAAAAATTAAATTTGGTTTTTCAAGCAATAAGAACTCAGTAGTCTTTAAAGAACGGAAGTTTTAAAATATAGATATTTCTTTTTTTTCCATTGTGATATTCTTGATTCCCACAAAAAATTTCAACCAAAGTTGGACTTTTCTATATAAAATATCGCTCAGTTTACATCAATTTTCTAAGTTACGGTTCTCAAAACTCAAGGTAAGTAAACATGAACCCTAGTCACCACGTGTTAATAGGGTCATACGGTTCATACAATTATATTAAGGCTATGGGCAGAATGCCCAAGGAGAGTGAGCTCACCCTAAAAGCTTAAGAGCTGCACTCCAGTTACGCATTCAACGCTTTCTTGAGCAAATAATATGTTTCTTTTTTTACATAAAAAAAAGTTTTAACTCGTTTTAATAGGTAT